CCGGAGTCAATAGAAGATACATTTTCCGTACTGACCAGCCAGCTGCCGCCCCGAACAGTGCGCCCGCGACCCTGCCGCCACTAAGGATGTCCACGCCCGTGGACGAAACGTTTGGCCCTTCAATGCCAACTGAACAACGGCCTACCAGCACTTAAAATTTATCTTCTAATACACCGTTTGTTATTAAACTTAAGGTATCGGTTTGCTATGATATTCAATACGTACACATCGTTTGATCAACATTCACATGTACCGAAGTGCAGCTTACTGCATCGTGTCTATTGGTAACCAATGGTATTTATTACCAAAAGGTGAAAATGTTAGTTTTATAACTTTTTGACTCTGAATTACTTTTTTTGTGGTACGTAAGAACACAGAAAATAATCCAATACTTTTTAGTGCAAAAATATTTTTTCACTTTTTCGCACTCCAACAAACAAACATGTTTCATTAACAACATTCATTCTTAAAATGATAAGAAATAACATGGGAATATGTGGGAATAACATGCGAGAGTACTCGCACAGTTACGCTAGTACTTTCGTATTTATTTACGATTTCTCGAATTTGGTACCTCCGCTGAATCATCTTAAAGAGGAAAGTGTTTTATTTCACTTATATTGTTTTGTGTACCTTCAGTTAGGTTCAGTTTTGTGAACTACAGAAACTAACCTTCCATATGTTTAAGTGTCTGAAAACACAAAGCTCCAACCTCATGAACTCAGTGCATTGCATTGTTCGAACTGACAAAAAATTTGCAACTTTCCTTTATAATCATATTCACTCAACAAGCGCCACAATGCACTACAAATTATGTTAATGGTGGCCTGGTTTTAATTATAGTATGCACTTAATTATAGATACCCTCATTTCCTCAGCGCCATCATACTTCTCCAAAGCACATTGATGAATAGATTCTGTTTAGTACATAGTTCATAGTCGTTTATGTTGATATTCAACTGTGATGCTACAACCTAACATACTTTTTTGTTTTATTTGTAAAGGTAACGTAATGTTACAAATAAGGTAATGTTACCAATAATTACTGGACTCGTACGAACATTTAGCAGTTAATTTTTTAAAGTGAAAATTGTAGCTCCCTTTGCCCGTGAAACGGGGAATTCTGAATAGATAGAATACCCAGAAGAGTGGAAACCCCAATCTACAAAAGATAGCTTTATAACAACAACTTCGAACTTTTATGACAAACATATCTACGCATTTAGAGAACGCTAAAAAATTGTAATATTCGTAGAACGATCAAAAGGGTATCATTTTATAACGAATGTAGAAACATAACAAGGTTTTAAGGGTCTAGGACGTACCATTTTCGAGTTATGTACGATTGCGTGTGTGATGCAGCATATCGTGTTTTGCGGGTTGCAGGTGCCCCTACTTTCTATAATTCCATTATCTGAGATACGTTTATTGTTTGTATCTTAAATCTGCTTGACACAGGACTGAGTAGTAATGCTTATCAAGGAGTATCACACTTACGGGGTTTTATTGATGGTTTATTATAAATAATACACGTCTGTCACATTTCCTTAGCTCAATGTGTATAGAACATTATACGAAGTGTATCCTACTCATGCTTTATCCATTTCGTGAAAAATATTGTTTAAGCAAAAGAAGGGCAGGGTATTCGAGTTTGCAATTATCAAAAGTTCAGGGGTTTTAATAGATCATGGACTTTTACCATATTTATAAGCCCCTTTTCTCTATTCGAGGAATATATTTAAAGAAAAGTGGTGATACAACAGCTCGTACTTTCTCGCATTATTTGTAGCTGCAGCGCAATATTGTAATACTAACTGAACCCGAAAAGAGATTCGAACTTGCCATTTTTTTCCACTCTGAGACTGGAACTCAGCTTTTTATATTTAGCACCTCATTCAGGTTACCCCTACACCCCCAGCATCCAAGGTACACCCAACGTACAGAGGCTTTAAAAACACAGTCCAATTTTTCAATTTTGAAAAATTCAGATATTTTCTTTGACATCATTTCAAGATTTAGTTTTAAAGACTAGATTTCATTAAAAAACTAGTGGTGCTAAAACACAAGTACATTTCGCTCCTATTTTCGGCCCAAAATTTTACAAAAAGTACTTAATTTTTTCGAAAACAATGTGTTCGGAATTGCCGCACTTATCAAAGTATTAGTGGACTGTATGGGGGATTGATAATTGAATTGGGTTTAACAGTGCAGCAGATTCGAACCCTTTGTTAGCTCAAGGAGACTGGCTGATAGGGTTTGGACCTCTCATCTCATTAAAACAAGCAGTTGGCACACAGTTCCCCTTTTGTTTATTCCAGAAGGCAAGGCACAGGAGTACAGTATAACTGTTCGATCGTTGTGATGTTCGATCGTTGCACCTTGCACACAACAGATGTAAGTCTTTTCGTGAATATCCACACGAGCGAGACACGTTTAATTGCACAAGAGCTTAACGTTGGAGTACTAATTAAATAAGATTGTTAATCTGCTTCGCAGTCACCAGGCCGACCCGCGTATGCGTTCGAGTCACTGCTGCCCGGTAGTTCTCAAGCGATTAGATTCTTGGGTCAATCTGCTTCCATTCGAAGCGCCGCAATTTTGAAAAATATTCTTCAAAATTTGGAGGTTCTTTACTTGAAGCCCTCGGACTTTTTAAAAATTTTCCCTAACAAAGCTCCATTTTTGTTCTTTAAATTTATTTTAAGACTTTAAGAACACCTACGAGTATATGTCGAGTATCGCGACAATAAAGGTGGCATATGTCCAATTTTAACGGTTAACTCTAAAGTTTCGAAAATTGCAAAATATTGTATTTTTTGCGGCGTCTTCCTTCAAGTACAAAACTAAAACTAAATATTTTTCCATCAAATAAAATTTGTTCTTCATAGTGAGTTCTTTCATAAAGATTGTGTATGTTTTTTTGAAAATCTTAGTAGTTTTCGCGCAATATGGCGAGCAATATTTGAAATAACGAACAATACTACATATATATTACTACGTATATACGTATGTATACTAAAAAGTAAAAAACAACACTTTTTCAGTTTCAGAGTACCCCAAACCATGCATTTCAATTAATTATCGAAATCGATTTTCCACAGCATTACATAAATTTCCCTACACTACGTATATTACTCCGTATAATACGTATGTATACGGAAAAGTAAAAAATTATTATAAAAACCAACACTTGCTGTGGGGAATCATACTTCGAAAGACAAATTCATAAAGGTATATCAGCATATGTATCACAAGTGCACACCTGAGAAAAATATTTTTTTTATTGATTTTAATGTCTACAATACAAATCTATTAGTGTCTCGGCGTAAGAAATTAACCTCTACAGGTGTAAAATAAATTTACAAGTGTGATGCATAACACGTGCGCGTGCCTCTTTTGTGATTTTAGTCATGTTTAATGTTAGGAATACTGATATGAACCATACCTTTGTCATGTATCTAGGCGTGAAAAAACATGTATATTTGTAAAATATGTTTAAAGTATAGGAAATATAATTATGGCATAATTATTCTTACTTTATGTGTATTATTTTTGGAAATGAAAGTTAGTACGGAAATTCTATGTCAAGCATTATTTAAACACTCAGGTATCCTTTTTTTCTTTTGGTTCCAACAATATATATATATATGTGTTCTAAATGAAAATTTCATATGGTGGTGGTGCACGACTTTTCACGTAATATTTATACGTATCATTAGATGTGAATAAAAAAATTAATTTACGTACTTGCCTGTAGATTAAAAAAATTGATCATATTGTGTTGAATTAAATTATTAACAAAAATCACAGAATCAAAGATGAAATTATGGAATAAAACCATTATAAATATAACTACATATAAAACCAAAATATATGTAGGATGTAAAAACTTTATATAAATAGAGGGGTAAGAACTCGCCAAAATAAGTTGTCAAAAAACTTTATAAAATTAAAAAGAAAAATCCAAAATAAATATACGTAAGGAAAAACATTCCCATTGTAATTATATACATCCTCCCTTCAAGAAGAAATGGTGGCAATTATCAACTGAGAAGGAACATATTAACTTAAAAAATAGTTGTTAACATTTGCAAAAGTGAACAATGAAATCATGCAAAAAAGAAATTAATGGAGATAAAATTGGGAAGAAAGAGATCAAGAATGGGGTATACTTACACAAATAAAGGAAAACGGAATATATCACAAAGTATAAATATTTTTAGCGTAGTCTTGTTTTAGACGGAATATTGTCATAAAATTTTGTGAATAAATTTGATTCCAACATGGCATTAATGAAATTGTGTGTGTTTATACGTAATTTCTCCGGGATTAATCTTGAATATTTTCTGGGTTCATAATCCAAAATGACAGGGCTGTCAAAATTCAAATAATGAAAATATCTACGTGACATCGAGAAATTGAGTTTAATTTTGTGCTTCTCTCCGTAATGTTAATAACATGTTTTTTGATTCTTTGTTTGAAATTATTTTGTCTGTTCCTCAGACAGAGAAAAAGCTAGAGAAATCACGACAATTGAGGCAATAAAGTACATTTTCTTTATCTGTTAAATATACATTTTTGACAGCCCTACCATTTTGGATAACCTACCCAGAAAATATTCAAGGGTAATCTCAGAGACATTAGTTATAAATTAATGTAAAAGTACTATATAAAAGTATATATAGTACTATATGAAGTATATATAGTATTTCTTTTAAAAGATTATATTGTTCGTAAAAATTTGTCATAAAACATTTAAAAGCAACCATTTACTTCAATTGTTATTGTTGTTAAGATTATGCAATTAATTTCAAGCGCTTGCCAATGATTTTATGAACATTTTGAAGGAATTTTTTTTTCAGTATGGCTACCATTTAATGACGTTTCATCAGTAATGCATTGCATCTATTTATCAAAATGCTGCCATACTTGCATCTATGACACGTACGTGCAGTACCTACCTACGTACCTAGGGACAAATTGGACATCTTTGAATTAGTATGCGGCTACTTAGAGACCCCGAAAAGGTATGGCGTGGTCATAATAGGCAATGAAAAAGAGTTTTCTACTATTAGAGCAAAACGTTACCTGTGCGCTCATAATACAAGATAATATTTAGAAAATGACACTTTGAATTCAATTTGGCGTACAGTTTGAGACGCCATATTTTTATGGCCCTGTGCTGTGTGCTCTTTCCCCAATGGCATTTTTTTTCGACACATACAAAACGTCGTGCAGCGCAACACCAACCCCTACAAAGCGCCATACATGCGTTTCCCTGTTCCTCATAACACCTGTTCCTCTAACTTCTTAAAAAGGTTTAGCTTTGAGATTATCACACGTTGGTTTTCTTGCTGACTCCCGGTTCATTAAGGTCTCTAGGGCGGTGCCCTCCCCAGAAAAAAACAACCTCGGGAAAAGTTGCGGAAAGTATTAAACTTGCAATAAGTCGATTCGTTTAATTTGTGCATATCACTAGCGCAATTTTTGAGGACGAATTTATTTTTAAGTTGCCTGATTAAGCGAAACATAAATGTTTTTGAAATGGATGATATCGTAAACTATTGGGAGTCCGTCCATAACTGATGCATGAGATTCAATAGAAGTTTGAGGAAGAGTGCAGGTACTGGGAGTTGGATGGGGATAGCGTGCTCCTTTTAGGGTTTTCTTCGACAGAGTCCACAGCTATTAACTAAGCTAAGAATAGGGACCCTTTCATCTGATTTCGTAAATTACTATTTTGTTTGCTGTAAATGTTTAAAAAATCTATTTCCGCATGAGCACAATTATACTTTCGTTAACAACATAAAGTTTCCTTAAACAAGGATTAAAATCCCGATGCATGAATATTGGTTTTTCACTATAAGCTGTAGTTTTCCTCGTGTGATGGTTTGGACATACATGCCGCCCCTCCGAATTCTCAACCCACCGGTCGCCACTGGTGCCAAAATGTTTCGGCTGCGTTCAGGCGGGAAACTACACTACGTGATCAAAAGTATCCGGACACGAGGCTGAAAATTCCAGTTCGTGGCGCCCTCTATCGGTAATGCTGAAATTCAATAGGGTGTTGGCCCACCCTTAGCCTTGATGACAGCTTCCATTTTCGCATGCATACTTTTAATTAGGCGCTGGAAAGTTTCTTGGGGAATGGCAGCCTATTCTTCACGGAGTGCTGCACTGAGGAGAGGTATCGATGTAGGTCGGTGAGGCCTGGCGCGAAGTCAGCGTTCCAAAACATCCCAAAAGTGTTCGATAGGATTCAAATCAGGACTCTGCAGGCCAGTCCATTACAGTGATGTTATTGTTCGCCACAGGTCGTGCAGTATGAACAGATGCTCGATAGTGTTGAAAGATGCAATCACCATCCCCGAATTGCTCTTCAACAGTGGGAAGCGAGAAGGTGTTTACTCGTAAAATATCAACGTATGCCTGTGATGTGGTAGTGTCAATACAAAACAATAAGGGGTGCAAGCCCCTTCCAAGAAAAACACGACCACACCATGACACTATTTTCAACTTGTCTGGATACTTTTGATCACATAGCGTAGCCCCTGCAGGCGCAATGCCACATTCCTGTTGTAATGTGTATTACCCCTGAAAAATAGAAATATAGCAATGTTTGCTAACTAATATTGCGAAAGTCCAATTTTCGTTTTAACTTATAGAAGTTCGAAAATTGGGAAAGTTTGATGTTTTTTTAACTATCTCACCTCCTCAATATTGAAGCTTGAGATTTCATTCTTAATGCAATATATTTTTCAATATTTGATCTTTAAAATATTTAAGACACTTTTTTTTCAAAGTATTAGCAATATTTTGCAAAATGTTGATTATATCGTTTCCGTTATTCGAGTGATGGTAGAAGAGTTAGAAGGATAGAAGGTGCAATATAACATTATGCCATTACCAACAACACCGAAAAGTATATGCTGTTATAGTACCGCAAGGATTATTATTTAACTAGTGTTATATTTAACACTATCTTTTATATAGCGGTGCCGTTGAATTTCATCGAGATAAATACATTATAAAATATATTGTTGCTAAGCACATTTTTATTCATGTACGCAATAAGACGATGATTTAATAATAGAGTGAGTTTTGAAGACTGGCTACGTTTGAAGCCGCTTAATGAAGAGAGAGTTTCATACAAAAGCTAACTTTTTAGAGTTACATAATTTGCCAAATTATTCATATTATTCTGCAATGCTGTTATAACTTGTACGAAAAACTTTGTCACGAGTTGTAAGAGCACATGTTTATTTTGTTTGCATGTCCAGGTTCATCCTTTCCGCAATCGGTCGGCCACTGGTCCTGCTGTACCCCAGCTGATCTTTTTTTTTCGCGACCTCGCAGAAGGCAACGGCTTATCGCTAGAGCGACCACTGACAGGGTCCGCCACCGGCGGTAAAGACAGCAGCAAAGGAAATGACAATCATGCCGGCGAGAGTCTTATTAATTTACGAATGCTGTACAGTAGTGACATCAAAGTCTCCTGCTGGTGGCAAGAGCAGTCTTCGTGGCACAGTGGCATGCCACGAGCTTCTCAGCGCAACTAGCATCAGAAAGGAAACCATCAGTAGTAACTCTGCCGTTTCGTGGAATCTCATGTAAAAAAGAGGATATGCACACAAAAAATTAAAGTAAAAAATATCAATACAAAATAACAACAAACATTCTTAAATTTATTTATCTAAATCCCGCAAAATAATATTTCATGTTGTAATAGTTCATCATCTCCCCATAATTAAATGAACTATATTTTGCCCCTCTTATTTATTATTAAATTTAATAGAGTGGCTAGCTCTAATTTTTATCAAGATTTTGGGCATTTTCATACTTACATTATGTCAGGGTATTCTCACCTGTCTTCTCGCGGGCTAGAAAACACTGTTACGAGTATTCGCATGGTAATAAGTTAATTTTGATAGGAAGTATTCTGTTATCTATTCCTTTAACTAATCCTAATCAAAATCAAACACCTTGTAATTTGATATGAAATTATCAGTGACATGAAGTGTTGGGTGCAGAATTACTCTATTTCAATATTATATTTTGTTTTTAAAATTTGGCAATATCTCATTGTATTTTCTCTACTATTACTTAATTTGATTCCCATCGAATATCTATTTAGAAAAATGATAATTATTTTTCTAACTTATTTTTATATCGTTCTCTTATGAATTCACTTTTTAAGTTTTACTACAATTTGCGATCTAAGTTTTTCACGAATATTACTCTTTTCTCGCTAGTGAATTTTAGCTCACTTACGTATTCTCCTATTCTCTAATACTTGTGGACCACATGTCCATTTTCTATCTCTCACAAACTCAAAATAAAATGTTTTTACATCATACCTTGACGGCCCTTGATCCCCACGCTACCAAAACCAATATCATTCTTTTTAAAGTTTTCGCTTTCACCTTCGATCTGTGTTAAAATGCTCACTGCTTGTTTGATTGTTATTCTTCGAATCGATGCCTTCTTGTGGCGCCCGCAACCATGCATCTAGGCCTCTCTTGTCGTATATCAACAATGTCCCATGTTTTTAATATGCTTTGTTTCCGAATTATTTTTTAATTGTTCAAAATTTGTTTAGTAAATATAATATTTTCATTTTCTGTTGCTGAAAATTAATTTTCAAGAATGATTTATTCAGTATTATCGAGAGATATTTTGGAACAATTTACAACACTTCCTTGAAAGTATTTGAAGTAATTATTCAATTCTTTGTCAGTTAGCTTTTCGCTTTTCGTGATAAGTCACAAAAATATTTTAAAAGCTTTTTTCTCTTGAGAAAGCTACGTGACTAAATACGCTGATTTGTAAGTTTCACCGAATAACTGCCAATAGTGAAAATACTGGTTCAGGTAAAACACAAACCAGGCATAACAAGGAACATCTTCACTCTTTCTCTGTACACCCACATCCCTCCACAATTAGGTACAGAGTTCTTGTAGACCTCGGCAAAACGGTAAATGAATGTTTTCACTTCATGCATAAGAAACAGTCCTCATCGGTATCAAGCAACCACTAATAGTACTTCTAGTTGCTGCGAGAGCGAATCTTCAATTAATAATTATGGAAATAAACCTCGTCAGTCTACGCAAAACACAGTGTACACAGAAAGTGGAAATAGTATTACTCGCGCAACTTTTCTTGAACGATAGATTGACGAATTAAGGTGGAGTGAGGGTATCAGTTACAAATTAGGCCACTAGAGTATTTTAAGTATCGCCAACGCCTGTGAAATGACAATCAAACCTGCATCTTGTGCGGCCAGGTCATCGCAGGGACACTAGATGAATTAAAATGTATTTAAGCAGTCAACTTGTGTAGATCTTCGCTAATTTTGACAAGCGTTTTTGTCGAAATTACCCAGAACTCACCACGTGGAGGTGTCTACACATCGAGTTCCCCACTTGCCCTCCCAACCACCCTACCTTTTGAGAGCAAGTTAGTCATAATCGATGTTTTTTTAATGTCAAGTCCGGGTTTGGTGTCGTAATCGGGTAATGGTCAGATTAATCAGAACATAAAGAGTTTTCTGATGAATGTGAATCTTTAGTCTGATCACTGGACCGTGAAGAGGTGTTAATAATAATTTTATCAATGGACATTTCTAGATTGCCATCCTTGGCCCAATATTCTACTTCAATGTTTAGTACATGTGTACAATAACCTTCCCAGTCTGGTGGTAATACTTGTGCAAAATCTGATTAAGAGAACTTAAGCAAATCGTGATTTAGTGAACAGAAGCTAGATCTATAGCATGATTCAAAGGATGCAACAAAACATTGTTCCCCTTTCTCACTTCACAAGCATTCTACACTTTTTAAATAATTTTGCGTTCGCCGCAATGATATATACTCTTAACTTTTTCGGGACTCCCTCGAAGGACCTGGACCTGACTCAGCCATTTATTTCGATATTCGATCTATATATCACTATGTATATATATATCACTATCACTATGAAAGCAACTGGCTTTGACTAGCTTCTGTTTCATACCAACGACGTTTTATTGCTTGAAGGTTGTCATAAGTGCCCGCTGCGAGCTTTTGCCTTCAACTGTTCATTGTACAAGGGAGGGGGATCAAGGTCATCTTGAAGAAAAGTTGCGCGAGTAATTAAAGATTGAGGAAGATTAGAAAACTTAAGCGTGACGTTACAAAGTTGGCCACCTTCACCAAGGGTTGAAATCTAGATGGCATTGGTAGTATCGATAAATGCCGAACCACAAAAAATTGAATAGAATGATCTGGGCTGTCCGGGTGACGCCGCGTCGATGGCTGATGTGCCGACGTTTCGACCGACATGTCGCTGTCCTCTTCAGGGGCTGTACTGCGCAAGGATGTAGGCCCTACATCCCTACAGCTAAATAATTCATTAGATATCCAGAAGTGATTACACTAATTAAACATTTCTGTGAAAATGGCTTCCTGGTTGATTTCGTAAATAAATTGGTAATTTCTTTTTATAACTCCTAGTCTGTAAAAATTTTACACAAGAGTTATGATCTAAACATTCAGAATTTCTCATATCAGTTAATACAGTCGTAAATACAATGTCAGTGGTAATATGTCACCAGTTTAAACGAACAAGAAATAATATATGCGATTAAAAACCTTTGTTTCTCATGCAAATAATGTCAAGACTATACAAACATCAATAACCCATTCCAATTAAAGTAACAATTTTCTCTTATACAGAAAGCAAAGGAAATAACCCAAAGATCTTTTGCATTATGTTGTCGCAATGGCGGCATCAAAGACACCCTCAGTGGAGAAATTGCCAGTTGTTCCCATACAAACAATTGTTATTGTCCGTCACGAACTCGTTGCCTTGGAGAGAATTATCAAGTAACTGTAACTACTATCTTAACATCGAGACGCACTCAAATAGCAAGTTGTTAAGGACCGGCAAGTGACCAATAATGACCCTTTGCATTAAAAACTATTGCTAAATGAAAGAGAAAAAAATTAAATGCGCTTTCTAAATAAATAAGATCTCAAAAATAATATTGAGCTTCTCACACCGGATACCTTACTCAAGTCTAACATTACTCAGATGTGTGACTTTCCACAAAATATAAGTAATTGTAACAATACTAGATCTGTTGTTAATAGAAGAACATACCAAGAGCTTGTCTTAGAGTTCTAAGTGGAATACTAATGGTCTTTGTAGTCAACATTAGCCTCATAACATTCGTAACATCAGCTTAACGCACAAATCCTTCACAAATGGTTTTAAATATCATCATACTATTGTACTTCCCAGCAACTTCTTCGTTTAACAGAAGCTAATTATGATGCGTTTAAACTACTTCAATACATACTGACAGTTTTTATAGACTTCCCTCAGGTGTTTTACTGCATTTGGTATTACAGGTTGATATTCCAACTACAGCAATTCGGTTATCCATACTTATCTAATAAGAGAGATCTCAATTCATTTTAATTTTTTGTAATAGTAAACAAATATCTATACTAGCTTTATACAGTAATGTCCACAGTGCCTGAAGAATCTCCCTGATCCCCTTTTCTTTTCACTATTTATTAGATCCTTTTTGTGCTTTTCTTCTACTAATAAGCAGATAACCTACTCTTATTTCATTACCATAATTGTAATTTACAAAGAGAATACAAAATGCCCTAGGCGAAATAGGAGTGTGATTTGATTTGCAACATGAATTGAATTTGTGGAACTTGAATGTCAATGTTAACAAAACTTATTGCAAATGTAATTCACTACGGCTCTATCCTCCAGGTCCTCAACTTCCGTTTACTAACTCCACCCTACCTTACATATCCCCCAAAGAAACAAACCTTCGATTACAAGTATCCCACGCGTAACACTTTTACTTAGTAACGCAAAACAAGTTGCCATTCTCCGTCAACTTACTCAGCTTCGCTCCCCTGTTCAAACTCCCTTCGAAATCTTTTATGACAGGCCCGGATTGGACCACTTTCACAGTGTTGTTTAAATGGCGGCATGGGGTGCCATTTAATGTGCCCCGCATAACGTTATTACTCCATTTGTGGAAGTCCCTTGCATCCCTGTCGGGCGAGAACATCGCCAACCTAGCACCCGCGCCCTGACGGGGTCAATTTTCCATTTATTTAAAAATAGATTAGATTTAAGATATGTTCCTAGTAATTCATAAATTCAAAATCATCTCAATGTGTTTCACTGCGTTATGCAGGGTACGGCTTGTTATCACGCGTGGTTTCACTCCCAGCCTCGTTTCAGAGCAGCCAGCGAAAGTGCCGAGATCAACAATACGGGATCACGTGTAGATCGCTCGGATAATGAAAATATGGCACGCAACCATATTAAAGGTCTTAGTTGTGGCCTTTGAGTCCTTGCAAGTTGGAAACCCATGCATTCTCACATATGCTTACCCAGTCTGGAGAGGATCATCACGAACGTCATTATCAAAACATCGTTCTGCAAATCCAGTGTCTATATTAGCAGCAGGTGCCCCATGGAACTTCAACTCCCAACACCATACTTTCCGTAAATAATTTAAATGAACATATAATTCACTTAACGCATTATTTCTTCTCCTGTCGTCATTCTTCCTCTTCGTCCCCAATTTTCAACTTAGGGTGGTACCTTCAATAATTTACAAAATGTCCCTTGGGACTTTCAAACGGATAAT